AAAGAATAATACGTGTGAGTTTGAACATTAGTCTACGTTTCAAAAACATTGATCCATTTTGAGGAATGTCTTTTGAAATCTTTCGTTTTCTGTGGTCAGTTTTTCCGGATTAGTATTAGGAAACGACCTCTGACAGTGCTTCTAAACTCATCCTTCGTAAGGTAAACGGGGCATTGATTAAGAGGTTATGAAAACAGTAAGACGTACGTACGTAAGCAAAATTTTCAACACGCTACCTTGGCGTCTGGATAACATTTTTTAATTAAACAGAACGTGGGGTTGATCATGATTTCTTGTTTGATATATCTTGTGCTTCTCTAAATGATAATTCTGGTGACTGTCACTCAAGCCCACTTGCAGCCAATGTCAACTTTTTTCTGCTCCAAATGTAACATTTCCTATGAGAGAATTCCATCTTCATCGAGTACACACTACAGGAAGGACAATCTAATCACTGGGAAAAGAAACGACTCTTGCTTTCGTTTTGGTCTGCCGCAGCCCAAGGAAGGTAGGAGCAATTAGATATTGTTAGGGATAAACAGATAGTTATGTTGGCACCTACTAAATTTGTCTTGAAGTCCTAAAGGTAAACATAAGTGGAATGAAAATGAAACGATTTCGGACTCGATTGAGTCCTTCTAGAATTATTAGTTGCTGTTCAATAGAGAACTGTTGGTCTTTTACGGCGAAAAGCATGAATGATTGTCTGCTTTGAATCTGTTTTACACACTTAAAATGTGTGGATAAACTGTGAACAGCAAAGCGAAAATTGTAGATTTGTACGAAAGTGAATAAAATTAAATCACAAGAGCGTAGCAGTATCGAAGCTGCCTTGATCTAAAACATGCCTTGAAATGGTACTTTTATAGCTTTCAGCGCATAGAATTTGGCGTTATTGTATCGAATGTGTTCATTGCGATGTAGTTGTTTAGCTGTTTTATGGTTTTAAAATTTATCCTCCCTCCCCATCCCCCGGTTCGTAAGCAAATGTTTGGAAATTTGTGTTCAGATTATATCACTGTTCTCCCGTTCTTCTGTATATCTCTTCTAGACTTAGCAAATTTATCTAGTTGATTCATTTTTTTTACTTCCGTGTTTCGAGTCCGAAGGGAGGTCACGCCAATAGTCCAGTGTGACTGAATTTTTAAATGATGCAAGACATCTGTGTCCTTCTTTCATGAAAAGAATAGAAAAATGGTTGAAAACATAAACAAAAGCAAACCAAAGTAACGTTATGTACTTGCAGTAACGTAAGAAAATATTCTACATTCAGAAAAATTGTTTTTTTCGTTCTTCATTTTTGTTTTGATAAACGTCGTAATTGTTTTGCCATTGACACTCGTGATTGACAAATCGGACTTCCGCTTCTCGGTCGTCTGATTCTGTTCTCACTCGTATGATTTGCGACCGAATTGGACTCCGCTCATTACCATCACTAATAATCAAGAGAAAATAACGGGACCATTATTTTCTCTTGTAATAATGAAATAATTATGTCTATCTCTGTCTCCTACTTGTCCTCCCCCATTAGATGCGTGTGACGTAGAAGAACAGAGTCATCAATTTCCAGGAGTCATGATCAATTCAAGCGGGCTTGTAATCGGTGGATCCTGTTCCGGTGCTGGAGTCATTCTTTGTATTTTGCTGTACTTCCTCTACTGGCAGCTGACGCATGACCGGAAGGACAAAAGAAAGAGGGTAAATGTTATGATTACTCAAGCAAGCCAGGCACCTGGGGAGGCTCGCACGGCATGAGTCTAACGAGCACTCAGCTTACTCTATTTGATACCTTATTTACCTCAATTAATCCTGCTTAGCTTGGCTAGAAACACTAACTTGAAAATCAACGTATTTATCGAATTTGCATTTAGAAGTTTCTCAACTACTGTAAAAAATATTTTGGTGCTCTCTTGTTGCTTGGATTTGTATTCACGAAACACGGGACAAAGTTATGTTTGAAAGACATTCATATAAAGGGTCACTTTTTAGATGTACTTTTTGATCGAAGGTTTGCTTTTGGAGAACGAGTTTGAGGGGCTCCTGAGCTAATTTCATCACAGTGTCTCTAAAAATGGATGCAAAAATCATCAAAAAAAGTTAATTAAGCCTTATTATCATATAAACTACGGTGTTATACAAGGATTCACAGCCCTGAGAAAAGCCGTGACAACACATCTTAAAAATATACGATACTTTTTGACGTGTGTTTGATATCACCAATCAGCTGCTGACACGTCATTCCCCTTTCGCGCCACTTCGCCTCAATCCAAGGTCGTTTTTCGAAATTTTTTCGGGCTATGGTTGCTAAACACTAAAAAATCCGTATCGCTAACGTAGCGCTAACGTATCGCCAAGTGACATTCAAACTTAATTTAAAAGGGGAAAAAAACCAAAATATGAAAACAAAGACCGAAATTTACGTATTCAGTGGCTTTGGTAATGGCATTTCTAGCGGCTGAGAACGAAAGTCGACAGCTAGAAGATTTGCCACAAGCTGATTTTGGCAGTGTACCTGAAAGATTTCTTCTGTCGGTAAAGGACCAATGCGATAACTGACAACTTTGCCTACTGAAAATCAGGCCCATTGCATGGTCTTATAGTGATTCAAGGCATGTTTTCATGTTGAGTGCGCACGGGTTTGCGAATTTCATTCGGAGATTGTCGATCCTTTTATTTTCATTCTTTAATAAAGATCGATCTCAATGCTTAAGACACTTCAAGAAATCTGTAGGCCAGAAGAAATCGATAAAAACTTCGTGTCGTTTGACTCAAGCTATGGTTCTTCGACCAATAGCACTCTAGCAATCACTTAAGAAACCGCCGACTGGACGCCTGCCTTTTTGGCGCAATCATACTTCCTTTTAAACCCTCAGAGTAATTGGTTACATACCATTGCAGTGAGAGCTTCATACATTTTACCTATTTTGGGGCAATTTCCTTGGTGAAAGCCAACGAAAACTGGGGGGGGGGGGGGCTGTCTTTCTTCCCCTGGAAAAAAACCAAAGCAGAAACCGCTTTGCCTTTTTGAGTTTCGGGGTAGACCCCTTAAACTGGCAAAGCTTCATTGAAATCGGTGAGATGGCATGTAGCACGACTACCCGGTGCTCTCGTGGACACACAATTAAAACATTTCTTTCGTTTAAGTATATACAAAGTAGAGAGACCGAACTAAGTCGTTGGAATATGGATGAGCTTTTTATGTTTATTGATCAGAATTGTGAATTACATGATATTCTCACTAAAGCCCAAAATACATAGAAGATCCCGCTGCACTCTCTCTGTAATTATATCATGTACATATAAAAGATATTATTTCAGGATTGAACTTTGCTTCTTCTCACATTGTTCCTAAATCGCACCGAGAATTTCAAAGTTATTGAGATATTCCTGACAGTTCATTTTGGAAAAAAATACAAATAACGAAAAGATGACGAAAATTGAAAATTGAGTGCTCTTCAAAAAAAAAACCAGCAATTAAAATATATGGAGCAGCCACCTGCCCCATGTTATTGGAGTAAGATCATAGTGCCCTTAAAAACTGAAAGCCTTCTCGGTGATACCTGTGACATTAATAAAGTCACATGCCTGAATTGCAGTTTGGTATTTTATTTCCACGAGAACTATTACTTAAGCTTCGACTTCGAGAATGTGACCCACATAATTTTAAAAAATTTATGTGTTCGTAAAATATCCGGATCAGAGCTTTTGAACTAAGTCAGCGCTATCCTTAATACGAGTTGAAGTTTATTGGCAGGGAGTTTACATCAAAGGGTAATTACAGAAAACAATCAACTTGAATTTGGTTTATGACCAGCAATGACTAAACGCTGCGATAAAAGGTCAAGAGGGTCCTTAACTGACCTTGACACTGGGGGGGGAGATGTGGAAGGGGGACTGGGGGTGATGGTGAATAGCTTCATTTGCCCTGTTCAGCTCATTGTGTTCTGTTTTTTTAATCAGAGACTCGTTTCGCTCATAATGTCTTTCCTTATTCAGGAGTATGAATGGTTAACCTCGGCTAAAAGGGAAATCTGAAGAAATGGAATAGGAAAAATGTACAACTACATCTTTCACTTTCTTCCAGCAAACTTAGATTTAATAATTTTCTCATTCAATCACATGATAAGCTAAAACACACACCATTTTGGCTTTTCATTGGTATACAAGGTATACATATAGGTCAAGCGGAAGGTAAGATGTGTTTCTACAGTAGTTACACTCAAAACTAATTTATGCATAACCGATGATCGAATCATTACTTTTTTCATCGCTGCACTTCACTCTCAAAACTTCTTTCCCTACCCAACGGTATAAATGGGTAACTGTAATCTGAAAGGATAATCTGATGTTCAACTGAATGTACATGTGCTATTAACTACGAAATTATTGTTTTCTAACAGTGAATTAGTCAAGAAAATATGAAAACTGGATATCAATACAGAGACGTTACATGTGCAAGGAAACCGGGTTACTTCATTCGAGCTCCGCGCTTCAAGAAAGTTCGTCGATGCTTAATAAGAAGGAAAAACTTGCTGCTTACGACTAGATTTCAAACGAGTCTTGCATGTTATTTATTTGAACTCTTTAGCGGGAGATTCCATCCCTTCCTTGCACCGTAAATCCCTGCTATTATGTTGTAGCAATATCCTGATAAAATGAACATTTTGTTCTTGTTCCTTAACAATTAATTGCACGAAACACTCAGAAAGAAAGAAGTGAATTGATTAGCACCAAAACTATAGCCAATGAGACATAAAAGTAATGCAAAACTGTATTATTTCGGTATGTCCTCACCATGTTAAAATTTGTTGTTCGCTAGAAATGACAAATTAGATTTACTGGTGCATTTTGTACAAAACCCCTTGTATATTGAGTAAATAAAGAATTCCTACCCTCTCACTGCAGTAAAATACCTTGGATTACCACTTTTTTTACACCCCCCCCACACCACTCTAACCAACCCCTCTACGAAAATACTAAATGAAGGCACGAAAAACCAACAAACAAATAAAAAACAAACTGGAGCTCTGCTTTTAGGCTTGATTAGATCTCTGTACTATTTTTTGCAATGTAACAAACGTCTTATATGGAGATTAATAGAAATAATTATTCAAATATTAAAAAAACTAGTATAACATCCAAATGGAAAACTAAAGAAAGCCTGTCATCTGACCGCTAGATGAATGAAGGCTTAATTTCAAATGTGATCTATGATTTCTTTTCTTTTTACTTTATAAAAAGGCAATTGCAAATGACTATAAAACTGCTAAAATGGTGTTTAAAACAGGTTGAGGCTCTAACACCTCGATTAAAATTTCAGTAATTACATTGTTCCATGTATGTTTTGCTAATACGTCGTCGGTCACTACCTTGCTTTTCGCTTCTGCTTCTTGCTGTGTGGCTCATCTTTGTCCGCTGTTCATATTCTAATTACATTAGATCAGCAATAGCTGGTAACTCGCAGTCGACCAATGCGTCATAGATTTCTCCAATACTCAGGTGGCGATGGTTTCCCACAGCGCCAAGGACAACGTCTGAGGGATTCACAACTCTATTGTCTAAAAAGCGAATCTCAATTTGGGAGAAACCCAGCTTTTCTGCCAACAGTTTCCACTCGTCTCCACCTTCGTAGAAAAACATATTATGCTCTCTCATAAATTTTGTTTCAATTGAAACACAGGTTTTGACCTTAAATCAAACTCTGTCGTAGACCGCATGGTTAAATAGCATAAATTGCATTGCTAACATTTTCTTGGCGCCTGATATCCTCCAAATTTCGTCTAAATTATTTTCATCTCATCCTTTTGGTAAGGGTTTTGACGAAAGCTGTCGAAATTTAGCTCGCTATGAATTAATCTAGCTGGAATATGATCTGAAAACGCATCTGCTATGACAACCTATGAGTTGAATCAAAGGTTAAAATTAGTTTATGAATAAATGGGTGTGCGGACGCCAACTTATTCCTTACCCGAGAGGCTGAACGTCAAATCCTTGTATTGCTTATGTGGCATGCAACCAACTGACATATCCTCATTCAACAACGGTCCTGTAGAGACAAAAGAACAGGAAAGGGAGATAAATATAGCAGTATTTATTTTAGAAAACTTTAAACCAAAATGAAAAAATATATTAAAGCAGATCAAAAGGGCATCATCAACAAATACAGCTACACACTAAAATCAAGAACACCTCGATATTATTTTTTAATGTTGCATTGAGAGGATGCTTGTGTGAGTACTTCTTTATATCTTAATATTATATCTCTTATTCCCCCTCCTGCATGCGGAAAAAAAAAACCTTTTGAACTCACCAGTAGTACCAGCAGGTGTAATCTCTCGTAAGTGTCTCACCAAATCATCCCGTTTCTCAGATTTAGCTCTCAAGGCGAGGCCACGAATCACACTTTTCGTCTCTGGCTCTGGACTGATTAAAGATGCTGGTTCCAACTGCAGAGCTTCTTGAAACTGAATCACAATGTCCTTAACATCACTTCCTGAGTTGAGTGGAATGGACTGGATGGAGGTTTTGACACTATCGGGCAGCGCAAGATCTTCCCGTTTCTTTCCTTGAAAAGGATTTAGAACGAATTGAAATAACGAAAAACGAAATTAAATGAAATAAGAGAAAGTTAAGTAGACGGAATGTATTTTGCTGACACCCAAATATTTTGAGTTGGTTAAAAGTCTGTTCCAGGAGAAACAATGGTATTAATAAAATTGCTCCTAAAATTATACGAGAAGGGACCTTGTTGGCTCTTTCTTTAGGTACGACATTGTTATTATGATATAATGACATGAAAGATAGCTACCTTTACCTTCTATGGAAAATATGCCTTTCGCACCGAGGTAACCTCCATGACTTGTTGTGTGAAGAGCTTGCACCTGCTAAGAAAACAAATTAAATCCACTTTTAAACCAGTTTATAAAAATATCAATGAACCTAAAAAGTATTAGCGTCTCATCAAACTAAGGAAGAGGATGGGACTGACAACGTACCTGATTCGTGGGTATTCCAGCATCATCCCCTTCTTCTCCGCCTGAGAACCAACATTCAAACTGCTTGACCCGAATCCTGCGATCCCCAAGAAGGCTGCGTCCTTGTCTGTTACAATGTTGACGCTGTCTCAAATCAGATTCTGACAAGAAGTGTAGACACTCACATCCACGCACGTCATGATCGCGGCATTTTACCGACCCTGGTCGAGAACAGACAGGGCAGCAGACACACATATCATACTTCACGTTGTTGAGCCAGTGAAACTCTTTCCGCATGCATTCGAGTATAAACCTCAATTTCCAGTGAACAGCACGGGAGATATCGGCTCTTTTCTCGTCATTGCCTCCGCTGTAAACGGCGACTTCAATGGCTGTGGAATGGCACCAAAAAATAACGGAGATACCTTGGTCTGGAAGAATGTGAAACATGGAAAAATTATGAAACAACTCTGGGTTCACTTTGCTCTTCCATTCTTCACCACACCACTGGAGGAAATGAAGGATAAGTCGGGAGAATAGACCAGGAGGCACTCGACCTGATGCAAATGTTACAAAAAGAGATGGAACGTTTACAGAGTCGAGAAGCTGTAGGACGTCATCTGTTGGGGGTGACATCAACATGGACGGTACAAGGTACTGCTTGCTGTCTTTAGATGACGGCCAGGGGGAAATCAAGCTTAATCTCTCCATGATGGCAATGAGGCTCTTGTGACTTTCTTGGTTGTCGAGCAAGTCTCTCCAAGCATGGTCAATGAGCTTTTCATCCAAGATTCCGGTTTCTTCAAGTTGTATCCACAGGTCTTTGACAGGATGCTCCGTGTGTTTAAAACGTCTTACAGTGATTACGCTTTTGAGGACATCAACAAGCCACTGAGGATCTAATATCACCATCCTTTCCAACTCTGGAGAGCCACTAAAATGAATCACAATTCTCTGATCATGCAAAAAGTTCAACAAAGTGGAAAACTCATCATCTTCTTGGATTCCGCAGTCTTCAAATGCAATCCACTTGGCTTCTTCACGTGTTATCCACTTGTCATGCTTTTTGCGAAGCTTGTTTTCATACCTCAACCACTTCACCGGAATTTCTTCTTTCGTCAGTTGCAGCTCCTTCGCAACAGCAAGCACCTCTTCTCTCAGCCGTTTAACCTCAGTACATTCTTCTTCACTGCCAGACTTTGTATTATCCACGACGAAAACATCTTTATACAGATGTTCCTTGTAGGTCTTGTGCTGCAGAAAGCCGTACGTTTTTAAAGCAAGGTCTCTTGCGTTAGATCCATCAAACGGCACGTCAGCATGGGTGCATACCAGGAATACTGGGGGAAGCCTCCGTGGCACAACATTCGGAGCAGTCTCTTGAGAGCTTCGAACATCTGAACTTACCAAGGAATAAATTGATGACATCCAAAAGTCCAGATAATCAAGGTTTGTTTTACTGCAGTCACTGTCCACTTTGTCCTCGAAAAGTCCTGTTTTGACAGGCGGGATGGCATTCTTGTCTGGATCACGACTCAAGTCAGACACCAAAATGTAGATAGCTTTCTCCGTGAGGAAGATTGGATGGGTTTCGTAGTACACTGACTGTCCGCCAAAATCCCATAGAACTGAGTAGATGTAGTCTTCATGGTTTGCATTTTCCTCCTCTTGAAGCATTTTTTCAACCAGCCTGGCTACTTCCTCGGGCAATTTTCCGTGTAAAGATTCGATATTTCTTGAGGGCTTAGTTGAGCCATAACGAGAAATGTTTGTGCTTGATCCATCATGAGACTCTAACTCAGACTCTGAATCTGACTCTGAGTCAGAATCTGACTTTTGCCGAAACCCCGTTAAATTTTCCCTTTGTTTCCTTAAAAATTCACTGATCACTTTCGCTGCTGCAAGGTGTTCAAATTGATCTTCTGGCTCAAATTCTACTTCTTCCTTCACCTTTCCGCTTTTCCAAATCTCTTTTGATACTTTAAAGTATAAAGAGTCAGTGTCTATTCCGACTGTGCTTTCCTCTTTTTCATTGAAATTTTCTCCTTTTAAGGACTTTTTGAGACTAGTTTTTCCTGTCCGCTCCTGTCCGATCAACATTACTGGTATTCTCTTGATGCAGGCCTTTCCCCCCGTTAAGGCTTTGTTATATGCCTTAACAGCTTCAGGACCTCGAGCATAAATTTCCGAAGGGACTGAAGATGTAATTTTAAAATCATGCGTTAGCGGGTATAATAACCTGTGGTTGTTTCATGCAAGTTGAAGAGGGGTAGGTTGTCTTTAAAATATAATGCTACTCTCTCTTCTGGTGTTGTTAGCTCTCAGTCTTCAGAGAGTCATGTAATGAGATATTTCATTACTTGGAAATATTAAAAAATGGTTATTAGTGCAACATAGTGATACATATGAGTTAATGACCAAGCGTTCACTTCATATTGACTACGGGCGCTGCCAGTATATAATTACTTTTAAGTCAGATTCTGCTGAAGTTAGGATACGACCTGATTTTGCTAAAAATACTTTTCAAATAATGATAATATTCAAATTCCCCGGTAGAGAGTACGGCACACGGTATCTGGATGATATGTACACGATTCGGGGTATACGTTTGTAGTTACGTCAAGTAGTCTTTTACAAAAGCTAACCATTTTTTTTTTTCAAAGATGTTAGCCAGAAGCGATATTTCTTTTAGGGATATTGCTCATAAGAGACCCTTCTTTTAAAGCCATGTAATTTTCATTTGTTTGAAACTTTTGTTGATTAAAAAAAAAAGAATTACATCCAGACATGATCGCTAAAATGAAGAAAATCAGATTTTTGAGCTTTTTTCGTTAATTGCTACCTGAAAAATAGAGGCTGGCCCGCGGGGATTTCTACATATTTAGCGACTGAAATATTATATTTAACCAGCTGCGCACTTAATACGTTCAATTTACAGAATCGGTGAATGTTTAGAGAGTGTAGAAAAAAAATTTTTCTTTGCATGACCTTACAGCAAAAACGACGAAAACTGTATCAATAGAAATAATCGATTAGTGTAACTACATCCACACTCAGGACTAATTGAATGGAGCAGAGTAAAGGACCTCGCGCATAGATCTCCAAAGGGACTGAAGATGTGATTCTAAGATCATGCGTTACGGTTGAAAGAAATTTTTTTACGTTTAACTTCCTATACGACCAACGGTTAAAATCTGTCAATTTTTAGGCCTAACGACTAAATTTTTGCCGTCCTACGGCTAACGGTTAACATCAGCTGCCATCATACAATTAAAAATTAGTTTACATCTAAGTCAGATTCCGCTAAAGTTAAGAAACGACTTGATTACATTAACAATACTCTTTAATCCGTCTCAGAATTATTTCCCGTGACTGTTATCGGGTAAGATTTGACCGTAAATAGCTGGTTGGATCACACAGATATCAGCCGTTAAAAAGTAATTAGTTACGTTCTGTCTGTGGAGGGTATTGCAGAGATGCACACCTTGCAGCAGGGGAACAATTCCGCTTTTTTCCTAAGCATTAGGCTGCGTTATTCTAAAGTCGATGCTTAAATCAGTTTAAGTCAATAGAATGTGCTATGATAAAATAAAGAAAATGAAACTAAATTTATTGTTGAATATTTGCTGTTATCAAAGATACATACATATCCAATGTGTTGTGTCACGCGGTGCGTTACCAGTGCTAATCTGGCATGCTGAGAATATTTTTGGGTGTGTGGTGTCATGTGCTAATGGTGTACACCTTGTTTCTTAACCCCACTAAAGAACGAGACTAATAATTAATGAAACACTGTCAAAATGAAAGTTACTAAGATTCATTAGTATAGGTAACAAATAAATTACCTTTTTCCTTTTCCATCAACTCTAAAATAAAAACAAAATGATAAATTATGATAGGATTTGCAAAGTCATTTCAATCCCTTAATGAAGTTATATAGAGAACCTACAGATCTGGTGGCTGAGGAGTGCATCGTTTTTTCAAAGCATTGACCCCCGCGAAGTGTTGTTATAATGAAACACTACTTTACCAAGAAAACAAAAGTATTCTCCTAGCTCCAAGTGTGTACTCTACACATAAATAAAGTTAACAGAAACAAATACAGGCCTATTTATCGCAGAAATGTCTGATTAAGCAGCTGCTTATCTTCGCTGCAACAACAAAACTAAAACATTTTACGGTAAATGGAAATCAGACAGCGAAACAGTGATTTATGTATATGTTGTGGTTCAATTTTATATTTGGTTCAAATTTTATTTCCCTTTGTTTAAAACTCACCATCATACATTACATTACCCAAAAACAAAAGAATATAAAATTTGAACCAAGGATAAAATTGACCCACAACATATATATTTACAGGCCCAAAAAACCAGGCAAGTGGACGATTAGATTGAAGGCTTGAGTAACTGTATTTCTTATTCCAAGCTTTCGCCGATCTACGGTATCGTCAGGAAATGTAAGAAAAATAAAAAAATTCTTTACATTCCTGAACGATGCCGAAGATCTGCGAAAGCGTGGAATTAAAAAGAGAGATACGTTAGCTCAAGGCCAATTATATATTTACACTGAGATGCTTAAATCAGTTTAACACAATAGAATGTGCTCCAGGAAAATGAGTTTAAAAAATATGGAGTTCATAACTGAATACAATTACTTTCATCAAACTTACATAAATATCCAATGTGTAGTGCAAAGAGCGAATATCGAGACTGTTAAAACAAAATTTACCAAGATTCATTATCATAGTTAACTAATAAATTACCTAGTGTCTTCTTGGTGAGCTCTGGAATGAAAACAAAATGACGAATTATGATAAGGTTTGCAAAGTCATCTCAATCCCTTACTGATATGACATAAAGAATCCACACATCTGGTAGCTGTAGAATGCATCATCTTTTTATAGGCATTAGCTCCACCCCTGAGATGTTGTCATAATAGAACACTAATTTACCTTTAAAAATATTCTCCAAAAGCTAAGTGCGAATTATTTACGTGAATAAAAGTTAACAGTGTATCGCCAGAGGATTTTGGGTTCTTCAAACTCCCACGGAAGAATGCACGGCACCCGGTATCTGGATGATATACACACGATTTGGGTTATATGTTTGTTGTTACGTCGAGTAGTCCTCAGAAAAGTTGGTCAATTTCTTCTTAGAAGATAACAGCCAGAAACAATATTTCTCTCGGTGATATTGCTCATAAGAGACCCTTCTTTTAAAGCCATGTACTTTCCATGTGTTTTAAACTTTTCTGTTGAGAACATACGATGTAAACATCGCCAAAATATGCTAAATCAGATTTTTGAGCTTTGTTTGTAAATTGGGCCAGCCTGCTAACATCTTGACTTGGCGAACGGACTGAAAGCGTGATGCTCGACGAGTTCGCTTGAAATATACGAAGAGTATCTGACAAGTCCCTTGGCCGAGACGAAACGCCGCGTCATACCAGCCACGAAATTTTTACAGTCGCTTTCAATGTGAAAATATCCCTCTGCTCTTCGAAATAAAAGAAAAATAAGGAAATAACAAGCATTTCATGTTAGTTCTGCTACTTTCGAAATTGTAAGCTCTGAGGAAAACCGATTTTCCCCGCAGTTGCTCGCAGAAATATTTTTCTCACTTCTCTGACGAATTTATTGACCTTATTTATCGGAGCTAGAGATCGGAACTAGATTAAATGCTGATAACCTAGCTCCGTTTAGCCAACCAGATGGCTAAAAAATATAACGACCGTGCTCCTTTTTTTATTTACTGGATACATAGGCTCTATCCAAAGAAACACACATATCCACCTGACGGCGTAGTTCATATTGTGAATATTGAAACACTGTTAGAAGAAAATTACTAAACCGATAATAAACAACTTACTCAAATAAGGTATTCAAAATCGTATCACCTCCAAACTGATATCGCTGAAATATTCATGCAGAGGAAAACCTGAATTTTCACATGATATGTACGTTTAGAATTAGGCACCTCGAACCCTTTATAAAAGAACGAGCATTTACGGCAGCGAGGTTTTTTTCGGAGAAATAACAGGGAGAGTGCGATGAATAATAATTTTTTCCAAGCGAAAACGAAATATCTACCGATACTGAACTGCATCCTTTCAATAATTTATTTAATGCATAAATCTACAAGAGTACAAAGCCCCTCAAGAGCAAATTAAAGACTAAGATTTTGTATTTGAACTGAGTTTCATTTTGCTGCTCTCCTTTTTAAGTAGCTTCTTCACAATTTTCTTTAACCTCTGAAAGCTCAATCTTTATAAACAACGTTTCAATTTTTGTTGGAGATTTGAATTTGGCGGCTTTTGAGAACAAAAATATACAGCATATAACCGTCTCCATGGAAACAGTCCGTAAGGCGACCAAGTAAAAACCAATCAGACTACTCTGCCATATAATAAATAAATATATTTGCTCCATTCAAACAAATATACATATCCACTGTGTAGTGTAAACGTGAATATTGAAAGACAGTAAGAAGAAAATTATTGAACCAATAATAAACAATTTACCTCTCCTAAACTCTAAAATGAAAACAAAATAAATGAACCAGGATATGTGTGCAATATCATCTCAGTTCCAAACTGATAAAGCTGGAAATACCCATGCAGATACGTACTTTTACCGTAGACCTTTTATAAAAGGGCGAGCATTGATAACATTCGTTTGTTTTTTTTCGGAGAAATAACATTAAGGGTGCGATGAATAATACTTCCTTTCAGCAAAACGAAATCCTTTCTGAAATTGAACTCTTTAGCTTTCAAGATTTTTTGTAAGAGATTTTGTATTTAAACTGAGTTTGATGTTGTTTAATATTATTGCTAGCAAAAGCAACAACAACATCGTTGTTGTCGTTGTTGCTTTTCTCTAAGAGGTCGCTTGTTCACACATTTTCTTTATCCTCTGAAATCATAGCCCAAAGAGCACGCAAAATGCGAGCTTTGAATACCAAAACAAGACAAAAATTATATAAAAGAAACAAATTGCTGTTAACAGGCTAGTATTTGTTGCTTGTTTCTTTATGTTTTCCTCCTAGTATTTTCGTTTGTTTTTCTCCCATGAATGCAACTCATAAGTTAGGTCCAGTTCCAATGTCGAATTTCTAATTTGACGGATCAACTTTCCTATTACGTACATTACAAGTACGATAGGATTCATTTCTTCTTCCAAAAAATTTGCTGAGAAAGGAGGAATAAGATGAAAACGCATGTATCGTTGATAGAAGTTTTATCCGTTTAAACAA